ATATAAAAAAATAGATACATTCAGTTATCCTTTTTTGGACAAAATAGAAATTAAGGATCTGTTTTGGGTCACCGAAAAAATCGAAGTTATAGCGAATGAATTTTTTAAAAGTGGTAGGGCAGTGCCCTACCACCCGAGAATTCCTGGTTACGCTACTAGATCAAATCAATACTTCTAATCTACAGAGAAATCACATAGAGTAGTGAACATCCAACTTCTATGGTATTCAGTAGAAACTATAATCACTCTTTCCGATTAAACTTACATGTTCTTTCTTTTCCCCCCATGCTTCCAGTACCCTATTGATTTTCACAATTGAATTAATCAACATTTTCATTCTAGATACACACATATACACATCTAAATAACCGTTCTTTGACAATTCTACAACGTAATATAAAAATACTTTAACAAAAAAATTATTACTACAAGCCACAACCTACATCTGACACATGATAAAACAAATTTAAAACAAATGAGAATTTGCAGTCGATTCATACCACACTTTGTTCGTTTATCAATCTAGTTGATTCGAATTACTTTGAATTTTGTACAAAATTTTCTGAATCGAACTAGAGATACTAAGTCACCTGATGAGATCCATTAAGCTGGATCGAAACGCGTCGTGGTAGCTATTTCTACACGCCCTCAAGAGAAATTTACTGCAGTTGTCGATGATAACCAATATCATTCATGAAGGCAGTAAGATCACAGCCTCCTATTCAGTTTGTTGAAGTTGCAACATTATTCTTTCAGAAAAGGGTGGGCGAATCTTTAGATGAGCGTTGCGTGTTAAAAAGATGACAAAAAATCGAATAGAAAAAGGCACAGAAAGTTCAAAGTGTAATGAATCAATTCGAAATAAATTTCAACGAATCCATAAATGAATACCAAAACTATCATTTTCATCTTTGGTCACTGCACATGTTGGTGGTAATTGTTGACGTAACCATTGAACAAGTCCATCCATTGCAGATGATACTGAACCATTTTCAGGCCAATAATGATCTAAAGAATGGACATATAATGATCGAAGATTTGGCATATTGTTTAAAAGAGTATAAGAATATTTCTTTGATTTTTAACAGTAATTATCAAAACTTCACATTGAATACCTAAAAACGAACGACTTAATTCAATACATTCCTTTTCATCAAAATGGTAAACTTGATCATTAAAATTGAATCGAATCAGGTCCAGTCGACGAACTGAAACACTGCGTAATCCTTCGAATGGTGACTCAGAATCCGATCTTGACCAAGTAGTAAACTCGAGTGAATAGAGACGAGGTGCTTGATCAAGTACAAGTTGTAGTTGAAATTGAATATTATTTACATTTTTGTTCGTATCTGTATAGACAAAAAGTGACCTTAGTCGAACAAATTTTGAAACAATAAAGAAAAAATTCTCATTAAACGGTAATGATAATGAAAGATGTTCAATATTATTAAAACGAAAACGCGATCGAATCGGATCTGTAAAAGATGAAGATCCATAATTTAATGTCGTTATACAAGGACATTGCAAATATTCTTTGTCATATTGAACAGTTGATTTTGCTAAAAGACAAATATTATCTTCGTAAAAACGATCAGAACTGTATGGTACAGTAAATACATCAATAAAATTGAATAGATCTATTTTTTCATCCAATGTATACCAATGGCATCGTATATACCATTGATGTTCATTTATCCAAAAATTAGTTCGATATGAATCAATTATTTTATTTAATTTTTCGTCTATATTTTGATTATTAGATGGTGGTGTAAATCTCATTTTCACTTGAAAGATTTTTAATTTTGGTAAAGATTTTTTAATAATACTTTCCCATTGATATCCATTTATATACACATTTAAATCACATTTTAATTGATATAAATTCGGTAGATTTTCTAAAACATGTTCTAACATATTTTCGAGACCATAGAATGTGATGTTTAATCGAGTTATAGAATCAATAGGTTTTAATATTTGGAATTCATTATATTCAACTACAAACCACGCCGAAAGATGTCGAAGATTAGGTGTGTTTCGATATAAATCAGCAAATCTTGATAAAGAATAAATATTATGTTCAATATTTAAATACTTTAATGATTTTGAAATAATTGTTGAATTAGAAGAATTTCTTGTAGAATTCATGTTCAAATGAATAGATTTTAGTTTTGGTAAACTCCATACTTGATTAAATAAATGTTGCGTATCGTTTTCACTCATTTCTATTGTACATTGAATTGTGAGATGTGTAAGATGAGGAAGATGCGAACATTCATTCATTATTTCACCAAGTATTTGTTTAGACTGAAGATTAATAATTGATAGTGATTCTAAATGAATAAATTGACGAAGTTGGTAATCTTGAGATAGTAAAAGTTGAATTTCTTGTGGAGTATCATAATCATTCGACAGATGAATTGATACTATTTGATTGAGAATTGACGGAGCATATTGTTGACATATTTGATCAAACTTTGTTTTTGATAATGATCTCAAATCGAGTTGAAATTTGTTAAATTCTTGAAAAAGTAAATTATTAAAAAGTGAATTGAGACCACGAAAATATTGAAATAGTTCGAAGAGTGAAAAATATTCAAATAGAATCAATATTATTTCATTTGGTAATGATTCCAAATTCATTTTGTAAGAAATTCACGCTGAGATGAAGACTGGCTTTTTTCTATTAACTGCGTATGTTGGAAAAAAAGATGAATGATGTTGTTCTTTTCTGAAATATTTATTTTGTGATCACGTTTCTTTCTTTTCTCACATATCACTACAATATGGTAAGCTGTCAAGCCCCAATGACTCATGCTTTTGATAGCAGATTTGGAAGTGGCTGATACACTTCGAATATGAATGTGCTACAAAAGATTTTACTGGATGAATTTTTGTCAGACGATCTTAATCTGTATTCTCACTTGAATACACTATGTCGGATTTCGAGGAACCGTTTACGAAGCAAATTACTTTTCGACATTATTGCCCTCTATATTTATTTCTATGATTGGCTGTCATTCGTCTCCTCCCTGTTGAGCTCTTCAACTAATGAATATTTGTATATTTCACATGGGCATTGACGTTGTACTTTCAGTGCTCAATTGAACACTGCCAAAGCCGTAACAACAATTTAGTACGATCGTAAGTCTCACAATCTCAATAATATTTCAGTCATAAAAATTAATGTGATTTATATCTTTTCGAGCAAACACAATCGTCTTGAACAGTCATATTCATCTTTATCTGATCACCGTTTTTCTAGTTTTCTTTTATTGTAGTATTTATTTTCTATATTTTTGTGTTTTTTTAAACTTTTTAATCTACTTTCATTATTGTTTCCGTGCTTTCATGTTTTTTATTTTATTTTGTACAAAATAACAAGTAACGATTGTTTGAAGACTCGCGTGGCTCTTTCTCGTACAAATAGGTGCGCCTAGAATTTGAACAAATCATTTACTCAGAACTTCAGGAAACTCCAGTTTTTTCAGGAACACAACGCATGATACATCAGTGATTTTTTACGAATAATTATCACTGCGGAGAATATGCAAATATTGTGAACATTTATTTTACAGCAGTCATATGATTCATACGATGTGAAGCAGTTCGTGAAATCTTTGCTAGCCGTCGCTTGTTTTTAGTGTTAGCATTTTTATTATAATTGACCATGAACGAAAGTTTGTGTCTAGCCAGAACACGCGTTTTTCATCGCGGTTTGTACCGCAAGGGGTCACTATGGTTTTTCTACTCAAATTTGAACTAGAGCATGTTCTAATTCAGACACACCCGATGTATCCCGATCATCGTCTTAGATATTGAACCACTCATATATTTTACGCTTACTGAGCTTTTATCATTGACTCTCTGAAAATGTTCGTGCAGAAGGAATCATAAGCCATCAGGAATTAGTTCTCAATCTGGTTAGCAGTTTGATGATGTAATCTCTGCACTTAACTTTCGCAATACTTTCAAAGTTATTTTTCTATCATTCAGTTTCCTCTATTAGAGTAGTGTTCACATGAGCACACCATGAAATAACTCGTAGCTCGTCGTTTCTTTTCCCTAACCAACCTCTCTCTAAATAACACTAAATCTGTCACAGTATAGTCTTTCACTTCATTATGAACCTGAGACGACAGTATTTCAACGCCGAGCCTATTCTGCGTTCCTTGCTTGTGAAATAAGTTACAATTAATTTTCCATGCAATACATTTTGAACTATTCATACTGAAAAAGATCCTGTTGGTTCCTCATTGAACATTATCATTCTGAAGAAAAATTGCCTGGAGTTCCAGCATCTGTCGCAGAATGATCATAGACAAAGGAGGGGGGCGCATAAGACCACAAATGGGTCCACGGGTGAAGTTTTGGATCCAAGAGTCAGGTGACCCTGGGAGTTTGTCACTTGGATGGGTCATGAGGGTGTGGGTGTAGGTATGGGTGTGGGGTGGCTTGAGTGTTTGTCTCCTCTCATCATC